TATAAACCTAATATTAATATCCATCTTTTTTTTATATAATTATATGATAAGTTATAAGGGGGGTTTTAAATAATGAATAGGTATGTTTCAATGTTTTGTATATTACTCGTAAATAAACTATTAAAGCATACTATTGTCAGATTTGCTAATGATGCTAAATGATTCATTGTCAGAGTCGCTGCCCAGTGCATAAAGTAGATAGGTGCCAAGCACTGTAAGACTATAGGTATTTTAAAATTCTATAATAATTATCACAAAAAACCGGATTTTGCATAAAATGAATGTTGTTATTTTCAATATCATATAAATGCAGTCAATGAGTGTCCACAAATCATTACTTAGTTGATTAAATATCAACATTTTAAATTGCATAATTTTGCATATTTTAACAAAAACCCATACAAATATACACCTAACGATCCAAAAGGGCGTTGAGCAAAAAAAAAACAGATTATAGGTACGTTTATATAATATCAAACATTTTGCGTCTCAACAAATATTCGGACTCCAAAAATAGGTTACTACACTTGAAAGATTGGTTGTACGAGTTGAATAGTTTATAATGCAGATTCGCCTTCTAAATCGTATCTTCTTAACATCGAAAGTTTTCGAAAAACCAATAATTCAACTATAGCACAATTTGTAAACAATTTTCTTAAACTATTGTGGCCCGAAGGTAACAATTATGATAAAGTTTTGTTGATGTTATCTGATGCTGCCCCTTATACGACAAAAGCTGCACAAAATGTAAAACCATTTTATTAGAATCTTGTACATGTAACTTGTGTCGATCGTGGTATTTACCGAATTGCTAAAAAAATTATAGATACTTAAATGATTTAATTAATAATGGAAAAAAGGTTTTCTCAAAGATTCCATATAGAATTCAGTTATATAAAGAAATGTTGCCAAATACACCTTTACCACCACATCCAACAATTACCCGTTGGGAAACTTGGCTTGAGTCAACCTTCTTTTACGCAGATCATTTTGAAGAGTTCTAAAATGTAGTTGAAAACTTAGAAAATGATGCAAAAAGCATTCAAAATTGTAAATCAATTTTAAATAAATTAAATGTAAAATATGATCTTGCTTACATTAGAGCACATTTTTTATGTATCCTTGAAAGTATCAAAAAGCTTGAAACCTGTAATTTTTCACTTGCATTCCTACTAGGAAAAATATTATAATAATCAAAACAAAAAGTAAAAATCTTTCAATTAAAAATATAGGATTTATAGTTTCAAAAGAAATGTCGAAAATACTTCAAAGTGACAGTGCTAATTTCAACGACTTATTTGTTCCAAAATATTCGGATGATATACTTGCCAATTTTAAAAATGTTCCAATAACCAGTTGAACGCAGTTTTTCCTCCTACATGTACATTCTTACATATTGCCGTCATAATTTCACAGAAATAAACGTGGAACATACTTTGATAACTTATTATTTTTCCAATTAACATACAACATTATATTGTTCGTACTTTTTTCCTATTTATAGTACCAATGCATCTATTATTTAATTTTGATAAAATATTTTTTACCATGTAGATATCAATGATTATAAAATAAATTACAATTTAACAAATTAGATTTTTGTATTGCATCTTTGGTATAATATACATCCATACGTTTTGTTTATGAATATTTAATAAACAATTTAATTCTATTTTGCATGTTTTGCATTTTTTTAGTGCATATTTGCATGCATATTTTACAATTTAAAATGCAGATAAATTCGGCCTTTAGTAGGTAATACGTAAATAATTCAATGCCCAGAATAAATATTATCATTTATCATGGGATAATAATGGAATTAAATTAAACTCCAAACAATTGTGACAGTATTGAATACCTACTAAAAAGTTGAATACATGTTAAGTTTATTCGAAATGTATTACCACAGAAACAAGTAGCCAGATTGATGCTTGTTGAATGTTTATAAATATTATTA